GGCACTTCGATTATGTTATTGAATCCCTTAAATCAACAAATTAAATTTTATTTAGCCAATTTATCTAATTTTCACAAAATGCTTAATTTCTAGGTGGATTATAAAAATTAAAATTTTATTTTTTAAAAAAATTCATATATTTAAGACTTGTTACGTAATTTTTCTAGAATAATTGAATTAGACCGCATGAATCAACGAATTAAATAAATAAATAAAATAGTAAATTTATTATAAAAAAAAAAACCCTCAAGCAAATTTTAAACAAAGTTACTTATAATTCAAATTATAGATATATTTAAATAATTATCTCAAAATAATTTGAATATTAAATATGAGTAATTAAAATAAAATATCTCAAAATAATTGAAATTGATCCAACACTAATTTGCTTCGCATGACAAATATTTTATTAAAATATATTTATCACTAATTATTTTAAAAGTTATTGTAATGCCAAAAAAAATAGCCTTAATCATACTAACACGACAAAATAAACAAGTCCCTGTTAATTTGCTGACGTGTCATTTTAACTTCCAACAATTTCTCTCATATCCACAACACAAATCCAACGTTGTTTTTCATGTGACGTACTTTTTATTTTTCTAGTAAATTGATATAAATAAATTAATAAAAATAATTTTAAAGGTGAGAATTGATAATTTTAATTATAAAATTAAGAGTTTAATTAATATATAATTAAATTAATAGACCCATCTAAATTTTAGAATATAAATTAATTCTAATTAAGGGTGTATAGGCAATACGTGGTATTGCTTAATGGATAAAGCAACATAATAAAATTAAAATTAAAAAGAAAAAAAGAAAAAAAAGAAAATGTTGTCATTATAAACGAGATCTCCCTCTTACTTGCCGTTTACGAATGTTCAAACTTCAAACGAAGTATTATTCAGCCGCCATTTCTGTCTCTCTCTCTCTCTTACACAGAGATGATGGAAAGTTACCCAGATTTTCTCTCAGCTTCATCGTCTTCAAACTCCCTCTCTTTCCAGAAAACGCTGATTTCTCGAGCTTCCGAGCCCACCGGAATCCATGGAAGTCATTTCCGGGAGGCGGGCATCTCCGGTGGGTTTCCGTTGTTTCCCGACGTGTCGAGGAGCTACATGTCTGTGGATACGAGAAGTAGTATGAAGGAAGATATGGTTTCGGTTAGTAAAGGCTTCCATGCTGATGGGTCAGCGGGGGAGGTGGTGGAGGGAGGAGCGGAGACGACGGAGATGGCGGCGGCGAGACAGGGAGATAATGATAAGAAAAAGAAGACGAGAAGCCGGAGATTTGCTTTTCAAACAAGGAGTCAAGTTGATATTCTTGATGATGGATATCGATGGAGGAAGTACGGACAGAAGGGTGTGAAGAACAACAAATTCCCAAGGTAACCTAATTAGTCTGTAATCATTTCTTAGCATTAAAACCAAGGCCTTAAAAGTCAAATTTTTATGGTTAAACGTTGAATAATACCTCCCATTATTAGTAGAGATGTCAATTTAGAACGGTCACAAACCATATAAACATTAAAAGAATGAGTGGACTAAATAAGATTGAGAATAGGAATTACATTTCCCGTCCCGAACCTTTACCACACTGCACCTTAATATAGAAAAACAACCCAATTCTCGAAAAATTCTCGTATGGATCCTTATGAGAATAGAGAATGAAATAGGAGGCGAGGGACGTTGACGGGGGAATCCTTACCACACTGCACCCTAGTAGAAAAAAATAACCCAATTCTAAAAAAATTCTCGTCTCAATCCCTTGTAAGAATAAATGAAAATTTTTGTGAGAATGGAGAATGAAATAGGAGCGGAGACAGTGAACCCTTACCACACTGCACCCTAATAGAGAAAAACAACCAAATTCTGGGAAAATTCTCGTCTTAAGAATAGAGAATGAAATAGGAGGTGAGGACGGATAAGACTTTTCTATCTCAGTCGTGTCGGTTAAATTATAAATTATTTGTTTGGTATTATTATATGGTGTAAGAAAAGGCTTGGTTAATGAATTGCAGAAGCTACTATAAATGCACACACCAAGGGTGCAAGGTGAAGAAGCAAGTGCAAAGGCTAACAAGAGATGAAGGAGTGGTGGTGACAACTTATGAAGGCATTCACTCTCATCCCATTCAGAAATCCACGGATAACTTCGAGCATATTTTGACCCAGATGCAAATTTACACTTCTTATTGATTATTTTACAAATATTTACTCATGTCAAATTTATTACATTTTTTCTATACATATAAACAAGTATTTATTTTAGGATGTTTATTGAAATTTTGTTGGAATGGGGTCGGGTGTTGGAGTCGAACATAATAAAATAGATTTAGATGTATGCCAAATCGAAATTGAGTAGTGCCACTTGCACGAGTGAGGTGCTGTCCCGGGTTTGTACGGATGTGGGTCGCATTCACGAGTTGAAATTTTTTTCTCGTGTCGATTGCAGAGTTAAAAAAATATGATTGGTATAAGATAAAAAAATTTAAAAATAAAATTCTATGGAATTTAAATATTTTCATTTTCTAGTTAGTTTATGGGTCTATTTTATATTATTTTATAATATAAATAAATTATTAAAAATTTAAAAATTTAAAAATTTTGAAACTAAATAATTATAAAATATAAAAGCTAAACTGTTACACTTCCATTAAACTCTTAAAACGCAATTTTAGGACTCAAAAAAAATTGAAACCTAAATTTATTATATTAAAAAAAAAAAGAAACGAACCGGATGGGTCTAACCCTCGATATTGTCGACATTATAAATTCCCAATTAACCCTCCATCTCTTGAACCCTCGGCTCACGCTGTCGTATCCAGGTTTTTCTCTGCAAAACTCTGCGTCGTTCTCAAGCAGGGCGGAGAAAAGTTGGTGTTTTTGCAGTTTACCGGCGGCAGAATCGAACGTTATGGGGATGGATCCCGACGCGGTGGCTAAGGCATTTGTCGATCATTATTACTCCACCTTCGACGCCAATCGAGGCGGTCTTGCTAATCTCTACCAGGACAATTCCATGTTGACGTTTGAAGGTCAGAAGATCCAAGGCTCGCAGAATATTGTCGCCAAGCTCACTAGCCTTCCCTTCCAGCAGTGCCAACACTCCGTTAGCACCGTCGATTGCCAGCCTTCTGGCCCTAGCGGTGGCGTGCTCGTATTCGTCAGCGGCAATCTTCAACTCGCCGGAGAACAGCATGCTCTCAAATTCAGTCAGGTAATGTGTTTTCATATTGAAGATATTGCTTGATTTGTTGCAGTTTTGTGAGCCTTGTGGTTATGGATGTTGAATTTATGGATTGATCTTGGTTGGATCTTGTATTCTCTTGGAGTTAGCCGATCGATCCTTGTTTTAGAGTTTCCTTGACTGAATTGATGTTGTGATTCTCTAATTTATGCGTTTGTGCTCTTGAAGTATCATTAGGTTTTGGGTAATTTGCGTCGTATTTGTTCATCATGTAGATCTAGGGGTTTTCGTTAGGGTTTTTTGTATCATATTGGGATAACGGTACTGTAGATCAAGCTTGAGACCGTGATATGCTTGTTTGCTACTTTTTATTGTATTTGGTATTTGGCGGGTTCGGCATGTCTGAGATGGTTCATGTTTTACTATTGGGTTCTTATTTTTTTAGAAGAAATCTTGTGGATTAAGTTCATTTGACCATCTTGCTGATTTATCAGCATGGGCCTAGTTAGAAAAAAAAAAGGTCCTTGATTATTTAACTCTGAAAAGTTAGTGCTAAACTGGTCCTTAATGGATGCTGCTTTTATCCGCGGGAGTTTGTGAGGCGACTAAGAAAGTTCCCCTGCTGTTATGTTTGAATAAAAACGTTGCCTCGTCCCATGTCTTTCTTCTAGTATCTATGCATGTTATGACTTCTCTAGCTTATCATGATGACATCTTTGAGAGAAAGTAATGACGCATTGAATCTGTGATCATGATCTATATTCTCCTTGACTATTTGGTGGTACTTTTAGATATAAATTCACGTGGGAATGCAAGAACATGTATTTGCTCGTTCTTCATTTACCTTTTCTAATTCAATATATGCCCAAATTGCTTATGGAATGGAATTTGTTTTAGAATGATGAATCATGAAAGCATTGTTAAAACAAATTATGGAATGATGGTATTCATGACGGTATATTTTATACTCTGTGAATAGCAATATAAGTGAATATGTATTGTGTGTAATATAATGAAATAGAACACACTGTTTATCTCATTATGAAACAAATTCAATTATGTCGAGAACTTCTGGGAAGAAAGAATTTAGAATTTGTTAATATATGTGCAAGATTGGAAAAGAAGGCGCAGTTTTTAATAGTTAACTACAGGATATGAACTTATGGCTGAACGTGAAAATCAAATTACGACATGAACAATTCTCTTTTTTGTTGTTAGCTGTGAATCCATGTTCTTTGTAGGATTTGGTTAGGTTGTTCGACTCTGTCCTTGAGTTTTAAAGGGCTTAAATTGCTTAGTAAATTTTTCTAACCAAAATGTATTTACTTTGTGCTTTTAGATGTTCCATTTGATGCCAACCCCACAGGGAAGCTTCTATGTGCTGAATGACATTTTCCGATTGAACTATGCCTGAAGTTGAGATTAGTTCATGGCATTGGGAGGCCTGAAATGTGAGGTTATTCAACCAGTTTGTTTATCACCCTTCAGTTTTTTTAGACATTTCAAATTGGAACTTGGATTATATCTTATCGTGCTTATGCTTCAAATTGTGTGCCTATGCAAGGTTGAATTTCTTGGTTGTCATCGAGAATTGATGAAGTAGATTACTTTGTTCAAATTCTAGTGATTTTCTCAATACTCTTCGAATTCAAGTGATGAAACAGTGTGTGTGCTTATTCGAATGCGAGTGTATTATATGCAATCATACCTGTGGAAAAAATAACGTTTTATACTCATTCATGACATAATGTTGATAGAACTTCCACGACATGGAAATTGAAATATGAATGTTCAAAATAAAATTGATTCCACCACAACGGAATCAAACAATGGAAAGGGGAAAGGACGTACGATGTTGATCGAGTGAGAGGCGGGATCCCGAGCTTACGAGTACTTGCTTGTGGATGCTATAAAAAACGGGATCCCTATTGTTCGTAAGTTGGTACTTGTAAGGTCAGGTTAAATAGATAGGAATTATTTATATAAATGGTTGTATATAATTAGTTGAAGTAACGTGTGCTAATATGAAAGCTAGAATAGACTCGTTGTCCAATGAAAGTGGTATAATTAAATACATCTCTAATCACCTATAATTTGTCATGTTCTGAAGAACGCCCAATTATAAAAACAGCATAAGCCCCAGGCAGATGGCAGTAGCAAAAGCAAAGACAAAAAGAAGAATGGCGGATTGGGGCCCTGTTCTTGTGGCGGTGATTCTGTTCATCCTGCTATCGCCGGGGCTTCTGTTCCAAGTCCACGGCGCCGACAAGTTCATCCAGTTCGGCAACTTTGAGACCAGCGCTACCTCCATTTTTCTTCATTCCCTCATCTTCTTTGCTCTCTTTTGCCTCTTCACTCTCGTCCTCCATCTTCATATCTACGTCTGATTCCATCCTTTTCTCATCAATTCTTACTTGTAATGATCTTTCAATTCATCATTTTTCTTTTCGTTTCGCAACACTTTGTATCGATGTTGTAGTTATTTAAATCTCGTGATTTTTTCTCACTTCTACATAACGTGAGATTGTGTTTGTATTCTTATATGGTAATCTCGATCGCTTTTATTCTCTCAATCTTTTTCCCGACATAGATTTTTCCCTCTTAACCCGTCTTTTCCACTCTTATAAAATCAAAATCAAAATTTACCTAAATTCAAGAAAATTAAGCGACACTTGAATAAAAGATGGGTACGTTAATGAATTGCGAATACATTCAAATGAGAACGACTTTTAAAAACAAATTTAAAAAGAGCGGTTTTTATTTGTGAGGTTATTCTTCATTCTTAGAAGCGAGAAATACATGGAGTGTGAGGGCCCTACTCGTTTAAGTCTCGGACTAATTTTTTGAAAACTCACGGAGAACCCAAAATAAATTTTAATTTTGTATTAATATTTATATTCAAATTATAATTTCCCCCCTTAATTTTGGTATAATTTGTTAAAATAATAGTGTGAAAGATAGATAGAAAATTGTAAGAAGGAGGTAGACCAAATTACTAATTTATTATTTCATGTGGGTCGTCATATTATTTATTATCAGCATTGCATATGGATGAATTAAATATATATATATACACACTTTGCATATGGGTGAATTTTTGTATTATTTAATGGGTACCTCTATCCATAGTTTATATACAAAAGTATGATTGAAAAAGGATAGGAATCATTAAATCCAAAAATTATGATTTTTTTTTTAATTTTACTAATAATTTACTAATTGACTTAATTTAATGTAAGGTATTCAAGATAGAACGCTCCGGCGAAAACAAATGAAATGTACCACAATTATTGTCTGGTTGTGGATATTGAAAGCGTAAATACTAATATACGAAGTGACAAGGAAAGCTCAAGTTCAACAAAGAATACAAACCAATAAAATAAAGAGTTCGAGTTCTGTTGTATTTGTTAGGAGTAATAATGATCCGAAGAAATTTATCTACACATATGCATTAAAAACGAATTTTTCGTTTAAATACAGTAAGATCTAGCAAGAATAATTTACTATTTAGTAATACCACTTGTCACAATCGCACTTTTATGACAACAGAACAATAATTGTACGACATTTATTCTAACTAGCGAACAAATAAGCCGTACGAAATTAAAAGTTTGTAGACAATATCGACGTATGCTTAAGTCTCGAGTCACGTTCATGAAACGTTTTAGAAATGAGCTAGAAATGCATAGAAAACCGCGTTGAAGCTAAAAAAGTGAAAATGGGCATTTTCACGTCTCACGACCAAATATAAAAGGTGGTGAGCGGAGGCGCACTTGATGAGTCAGATTTCAGAAACTGAAGCACAGAAAGGTAGGAATTATGGCGGATTGGGGCCCAGTTTTCGTGGCTGTAGTTCTGTTTCTTCTACTATCCCCCGGCCTTCTGTTTCAAGTCCCCGGCCACCATCATTTCATCCAGTTCGGCAACTTCCAAACCAGCGGCGCCTCCATTTTCATCCATTCCCTCATCTTCTTCGCCCTAATTTGCCTCTTCACCTTCGTCCTTCAACTTCACATCTACCTCTAATCCTCCCTAATCGCAATCGCAATCGCAATCGCAATCGGATCGCGATTCTTCGAAATTCCAGGTATATATTCTCTGTTTCTTCGTTTGATTCTGCTTGTGTTTCTTACTGCTCTGTCTGCAACTCATCTTCGAAATCTCGAGATCAATTTCATGTTGCGTTTCTGTTTAACGGATTCGGCGAAGCCATATTGTTGTAATTTGTGTTAGTTTGAGTGATTTTAGTATTCACAGTCAATTGATTCCTAATCCATGTGATATATTCCAGATTTTGGATTCACTTCTTAGCGTTTTTATTGTTTAATCTATCGAGTTTATTTCAATTGGTGAACTTGTGATGATGAACACATGGAATCACAAAAATCAATCGAGACATTTCTTTGGACGAATAGTGATTAGCAAAAGATAAGTCTCAAGTCAAGTGATGGTAAGCGTTAGGTCAAATTATTCATACATTATTATTTCATGTGGGGCAGGTTATTTATTATATATTTATAAGTATTTCAAAGTGGGTGGATTTTCTCATTGGTTCATATCATTCCTTCGTATTTTCAATTCATCTCTTTATGCTACCAAATATGCTCCACCAAACATTTCTTTTTCCGTTTAATTGCAAATTAACCCTTATAATTTCAAATATTAAAATTATTCCATATTTTGCTAAAATTTCTTATAACTAGTTTCTTCCTTCTAAATATTAAATACAAAATTTAATTTAATTTTTTTTTTTTTTTTGTAGGGTATAGATTTTAGTTTTATTGATTTTTTAAAATTATGTTTTGATTTGTTTTTATTTTATTTTTTATATTCATCTATTTAATAAACTTTATTTTAGTATTTCATATGAAATAAATCGATGTCACATCAACTTTATAATTAATAAATAATTTCATATCCACGGATAGGTGGAAAAGATAAAATCAACTTTTTGTTAGTTATAATAACGAAAAAATAAGATAAAAGTTACCGATAAATTATTCAAACCTTAATTATTAAAAATGTTTTTTCTTCTCATTATTAGTTAGGTTAGGTTTCAGATTTTTATTAATAGCTCAAATTTAGCTTGAAGCCAACTAAGTCGCTTCATAGAGTTGGAAGTAAAATTAATTAATTATAAAAATAAATAATAAATAATAAAAAAATTACAAAGAATTCTATGTAGTGGGTTTTGGTGATGTAAGTAAGTTTAATAAATTCTTCTTTCTTTTTGGATAATAAAAAATCGAGCTATTACCAAATACATTGACAACTCAACTAATATTGGACATTTTAATTATTAAAAAAATTCATAATCATCTTCTTCCCTCGAGAAATCGTTTACTCATTCGAAGTTGAAGGATAACTTGTCATCGTCTTGCTTTATGAGATCGATTCTAGCTTAAATCAGTATAAAATTGAATTAAACAGATCTATATATCCTTTTTATGTCTAAATTCGATGTTTTCGTTTTAGTCATGATTAATACTTAAATTTGAAGTAAAACATTAAACCTGAACAAAACAACCTACCTGTAAAGTTTACCAACCAAATTTTATAATTTAATATAATGTAAAAATATTAGAGTATCGTGACTCTTATATTTACCCATTGTAAATGATAAGGAATGAAAGACAAATTTAGAAAAACACCATGGAAGGAATTGAATTGTTCATGTAAGTCTAAGCATTTCAAACTTTGTAGGGTTCATATCTGCAAAACCAATGCTGGGATCGTTACCCTCCTTAATCCCCTGCCTCACCCTCTCCACTCTCTCAAGAATCCCTTTAACAGAAATATCAAAAGCATCCTCAAAACCCTCTAATCTCGATCTGGGGTCTGCATAAATCACACCAGGCATCATTCCTATCAACTGGTTTCTCATACCCACAATTTCTTTACCAGAGATTCCCTCCAGAACCTTACTAACATTCACCTCTTTCCCTTTAACCATCGGTATGAAAACAGAGTACTTCTTGTGATCCTTTGGAAAGTGCCAAATGTACTGAGCATACGCCGTTCCAGAGTGGAAGAAAACAGGAATACAGCCAGCTATAATGGCATCAAAGGTCGATCTTCTCGTGAATGAGTCCCCTGGTGGCTGCAAGCAAAAAACAGAGCTCATAAACGTGCCCATCACTGCCACTGGGTCACCGCATTTCTTCTCCCCAGGGATGCAGGCCAAAAACGAGCAGCTTTTTGAGGCCTTGCACTGGTTTATCAGCTCCCCTCTAATGGAGGTTTCTTGTGATGGCCTTGGCCCTCCTATGAACGCGAAAAGGAAGGGCCTCCTCTGATTTTTCACCTTCTTCTTCCATTCTGTGATTTGTGAGTCGCTTGAAGGGTGGAAGTCAGTGGGATATGGGATTGCGAAATCATTGTTCCAATACCCTGTTTCGATTGTCAGCATCGTCATGTTCTTGGTTTCTGGTAAAAGCATGAGCTTTGAGCCCCAATCTGATTCCTCTTCATTGTCCCTTCTGAAATCCCAAGTGATTCTTCCTCCAATCAAGAAATGGTCTCTACCCCACATGGCTTTCCACTCTGTTCTTTGTGATACCCATTTCGCCAATTCAATTGACCCTTCGTCTCTTACTGAGGCATTGAATCCCCAAAGGTAAGGTCCAACGTCAAGCCCTGCATAGAACGGCACAAAAATTGCTGAGGCTTTAGAGGAATCCTTGGTTAAGCATTTGTATTGCTTCATTCTATTATGGAAAATCACTTCCAATGCGAATTGGTTCGTGAAATGCCATCCTTTATTGGTTAATACTCGTTTGGAATTTTCAACTTTTGGGCCTAATCCCCTGTTTTCCCACACGAATCTGCAGATTTCTGACCATTTCATATGAGGTAATTTGCAGCTTTTAGCCAAACCTTCATTGAATTTCTTGGGAAGATTATGAATGTAAATGTATCTCCCTTTGCATGAGGAATCCTCCGTTTTGAATCGGGGTTTTTTTGATTTGGTTTTGGTTTTGGTTTTGGTTTTGCTGGATCTTTCTTTGTGACGAGCAGCTTTTTTTCTTGATCTTTTGGCTGGTGGCGAAATGGAGGAAGAACTGATATCAGTTTTGACAATGGCTTCTTCTGGTTCTTTGATGATCTGAGCTTCGACAATGGTTTCTTCTGGTTTTGGATCAATGGAGGCGTTTAGAGAAATGGGTTGTGATGAATTTGCATAGTCATCGGTGATGGAAGTGGCTTCGTTTCTTCTTGTTTCAAACAAGGCAGTGTAATCAAGGAAGAGCAATATTGAGCATAGAACGAAGGACATCAAAGCAACAAAAGGGATCGGATTGGTACATTTTGGAAATATGATCTTCTCCATTTTTCATCATCAATCATCAGCACACGATACTACGCTACGTAGGAGCTCGAGACAATTCTGTAACAACGATGCCTCCCGATGAGAGGGGTTCAACAAAATAGCTCTATAATTTCGAATGGCACAAATTTGTGTAATATCATAATATCGTATATGAAGGAGGCTAGCTCCTGAAAGGTGAATAGGCAACGACTATTAACTATAACAATCATATGAACGAAGAACACGTTCGGTTGAAAGGACACTAAAAGAGAGGGAGGTGAGGAGGATTTTGAGTGGAATCAGCCATAGAAGGCAAAGCATTGACGTCCTTCAATAAACCTTCTAAACATAACCTCTTGCCATCCAATTAATGGATTATTCTTTCCTTTCATTTCCATTTTAGTTTTTTAGGTTTTAAAATTAGAATGATTATAATGGTAAGGTTTAATTTTAACCAAAAGAATAAATAAAAAAAAAAGATTCGAGTTGAAAACGGAAAAGAAGAACAGAACGGCTCGACCCATTTTTCCTTCTTAATCTCATCATCAGCTAAAATCGAGACTAATGAAGCTTCTTTTGCCTTGTTCAACTCTCCACGAGTCTCCTCAAATGCTTAAATTAGCTTAATTGAAAATTTGAACGAAACAAAAAAATTATATTAAGCTTTGTCGGGATTAAAACTTTAAATTATATTTATAACCATGTGCATTTATTTCATTTTTTTAAATAAGTCAAATCATATTTTTAATTAAAAAATATTTTTCATTTTTGGTAGAACCAAAACCAAAATACATATTTATCTTTTTATTATATTAGTTTTGTAAATTTTGTATAATTACAATGCATTTATCAATGAACTTTTTAATAAAGATATAATTATGTTTGAATAAATAATTATAAAGAAAATCAATTTTTTTAATACTATGAATAATTATAATCCTAAATTATTTCAATTAATTTAAGTATATTTTATAGATTACTATTTATTAGTTTTAATAAATACACGATTTTACATCTATTCAATTTTATTCATTTTAACTATATATATATATATATTATATAAATCTAAAACAAATTAACCATTTAATTTAAAAAAAAAAAAAAAAAAAAAAAAGTCATGAAAGGCATAAATATTAAATACCAAATTCAAATTCAAATTCAAATTCAAATTCAAAATTTGTATCTTTAATTTTTTTTAATAACAATTTTATGCCAAAGGAAATATTTATATGGAAAATCAAATATATATATATATATATATTTTTTTGTAATATTCTTAAAAAAAATAAACAAAATTCAAAACTTTTAAAAGATAGCAATTTTATCTAAAAGAAAAGGTTTATATTTTGAAAATCCATAAAATATATATATTTTTTTCGGATAATATTTTTTTTAAAAAATAAATATAAAAGATTTTGTTTAAATTTAATGTGTTTCAATATTTTCCTCCATAAATAGACATAAAATATTTTCAAAAAACAAATAAATAAATAATCATGGATAAGAAATTGGATAATTAAGTAGAAACAGTCTTCTAAACTATTTTTAACCAATTTTCTTATCTTTCTCAATCCAATTAACTCTCCCATTCTTCACCTAACTCCTTTCCCTATAAAATCTGTGCAACCATTCACTGCTATCGATCAAATTCATCCTCTGTGAATTCATTATAAAGATGCCGGCGGGAGGCTTTTCCGGTAGTCATGGCGGCACAGAGTTCGAGGCCAAGGTCACTACGGCGGTGATTATTTCCTGTATAATGGCAGCCACCGGAGGGCTCATGTTCGGTTACGACATCGGAGTTTCCGGTAATTTAATGTTTTTTTCTAATTAATTTTATGGTGTTCTTGTGATCAACAATGGCGATGCCGGTGCAGGCGGAGTGACGTCGATGCCGTCGTTCTTGAAGGAGTTCTTCCCGGTGGTGTACGAGAAAACCCAGCAACACGCCATGGACGACAGCAATTACTGTAAATACGACAATCACAGCTTACAATTGTTCACTTCTTCACTCTATCTCGCGGCCTTAACCGCTACTTTCTTCGCTTCTTACACCACCAGAGTCCTCGGTCGGAAACTCACCATGCTCATCGCCGGCGTGTTCTTCATCGTCGGCACCGTTCTTAACGCCACCGCTGTCAGTCTCCTCATGCTTATCCTCGGCCGCCTCGCTCTCGGCTGCGGCGTTGGATTTGCCAACCAAGCTGTCCCATTGTTCTTGTCGGAGATAGCTCCGACGAGGATTCGTGGAGCCTTGAATATCTTGTTTCAATTTGATGTCACTGTCGGCATTCTCTTCGCTAATCTCATCAATTACGGCACATCCAAGTAAGAACAAATCATACCCAGAATTTAATTTGTAAGATAATGAATTTTTCAAATGAATTGTGGAACAGGATTGCAGGTGGATGGGGATGGCGGCTGTCATTAGCTTTAGCTGGCATTCCGGCAACCTTATTGACTGTCGGAGCGATATTGGTCGACGACACTCCGAACAGCTTGATCGAACGTGGGCATTTGGAGAAAGGAAAAACCGTTCTAAGAAAAATCAGAGGAACAGAGAACATTGAGCCAGAGTACATGGAAATCGTCGAAGCCAGCCGCATTGCCCAAGAAGTGAAGCACCCATTTAAGAATCTTCTCATGCGGAAAAACCGCCCACCATTGGTGATCGCTATAATGTTCCAAATCTTCCAGCAGCTCACAGGAATCAACGCCATCATGTTCTACGCGCCGGTTCTGTTCAACACATTAGGCTTAGGCAACGACGCGTCGCTATACTCTGCTGTGATAACAGGGGCTGTCAATGTCCTCTCGACATTGGTATCAATTTACTCCGTCGACAAGCTCGGTCGGCGAGTGCTGCTGTTGGAAGCTGGGGTTCAAATGTTCATCAGCCAAATGGTGATCGCCGTCGTGTTGGGGTTAAACTTGGGGGACAACACGAATAAAATGTCGCAGGGGACGGCGATTGTGGTGGTGCTGATGGTGTGTACTTTTGTGTCGTCGTTTGCTTGGTCTTGGGGTCCGTTGGGATGGCTGATTCCGAGCGAGACGTTCCCGTTGGAGACGAGATCGGCTGGGCAGAGTGTGGCGGTGTGTATGAACATGGTGTTCACGTTCATCATAGCTCAGTTGTTTTTGTCGATGCTGTGCCATATGAAGTTTGGGATTTTCCTGTTCTTTTCTGGGTGGGTGTTGTTAATGTCGCTGTTCGTGATCTATTTGGTGCCGGAGACGAAGGGGGTTCCGATCGAGGAGATGACGGAGAGAGTGTGGAAACAGCATTGGTTTTGGAAGAGATTTATGGACGGTGTGGATGAGGACAGAAAGGGGAAGGATGTAGTTTAAGTTTTGATTTTTATTGCTTTTATAAGAATTGTTGTTGAAGGAAATTAATAAGTTTTGAGATTTTGAGATTCTATTTGTTAGCAAATTTAAATCAATTTTTTTTATCATACTTTTTATCTTTTAGTATAATTTTATATTTTTGTTAAATAAATAAAATGTTTAAAAATATATTTTTTTAAAAACCGTGTATAGTGTCACATTTAGTAACTTCGTATGGAACTTTAAAAGGCACCTGGTAAATATGGTGGGTTAGCTGTTCATTTAATGGGCCAAAACAATATTTAATAGACCAAAATGCAATGTTTACTAGTGGTAGGTATTAGCTGTTACAATGTGTTCGGAAGGATGGGGCCAAAACAGAGAATTGTTTACTAGTAGTAGGTATTAGCTGTTACAATGTGTTTAAGGATGGGACCAAAACAGAGGATGCTAACCGTATACTTTAGCTTTTCTTAGGCTCAGGCTCTAAGAAATAGCTTTTGTTGGGCTCTAAGAAATGGTTTGGACGACTCTGCTCTTTAAATAACCGATTTAAAATATGAAATTTATTTCTTAATTACATTCAGTTGGGTCAAAATCAAATAGTCAACCAATTTTGTAGCTTAACTAACCAAACTAAGATAATTAGTTGGATCTAGCTCTATAATTCCTCGATTTATTACACACTTCCTATTATTAAGTAAGAGAAATTTTTATTTTAACATTTAAAATAGGCTATTATAAAAATCTCAACTTCCAAGATAATTACTTGAAAACTTTATACTATAAAAATCGGAACTTTATTGATGAACATGGGAACGGTAGCCAAAATCAGGCGGGTACGTGCAATTCTTACCAAAAATGTTGTGAAAATTCAGTAGAAGACAAGCCAACACGTGGAGATAAATACGGAAACCTTTCTTCTTTTCCCACTCCGATGCATCAGATCAAACATGACTGGAAAGGCACCGGATCGTTGTAATTGGTTTTGCAGTTCATAGCTTCTTCTGTATTGGGTACGCTTGTTTTTTACTTCAAAATTGAAAAAAGATGATTAATTATTAGTTAAATTCACGTGGCCACATTTAATCTGGAGATTGATTGCCTCATAATTTTAAAATATCTTCCATCCGTTCGGAACTTGAGCGGATCATCTTGCCTGAAATCGTTTTGTGTTGAATTGGGAATGCTTGCAGTGATACCAGTGGCGCTTAGATTCTTCGAGGAATAATGGGTTCCCTTCGCGCTCCGCATTGCTCTCTAGCTTCTTCGCATGTTCATTTGTCCGACAGATTCTCACTCTCACGGCCTCAGCTGCGATGGCGTAAGAACCCTTCTTTTCGTTCGACGAAATTTTCGCAACCTGGGGTTTTCTCTCCATTTTGTTATCGCGATTGTCCATGGAAGCGCGGCTCTCAGATCGTTTGTGGAGTTTTATCCGCTTCTCAAGAAACTATCAGGTTAAGTCGGCGCCGTTTCTTCTTTTCTTTTGCTTACGATTGAGACTTCTTTTGAGATGGTGTTGGGATTTAACAGGGAAGGTGAAGAGCAGAAGATGATCGGGAAGGTTCTTCTGAAGGTGAGGTTGGATCATCAAGTTAAATTTGGGGAGTCTGTGGTAATCTTCGGGTCGTCTGAAGAATTGGGATCATGGAAAAACCCTACGCATCTGAAATGGAGTGAGAAGGGGTGGGTTTGTGAATTACTGCTCAGAGGGGATGAGTCAGTGGAATTCAAGTTCGCCGTTGTTAAGAAGGATGGGAGTTTGTTGTGGGAATCTGGAGATAATCGGATTCTCCAGTTGCCTAAGGTAGGGAGCTTTAAATCATTTCATCGATGGAATAAAACAGGGGAGGGTGTGGAAATGTTGCCTTTGGATGCAGAGGAGAGTAATGGAGGATATGAAACGTTGGAGATCAATGAAGGAGATGAAAAGGACAAGAACATTGAAGCTGGGAATGCGTCTTTGGTTGAAGATGAGGCCAGTCCTTTTGTTGGGCAGTGGAAAGGGAAGGATATCTCATTTATGAGGTCTAATGAACATCGAGACCGAGAGTCTGAGAGGAATTGGGATACTTCTGGTCTTGCGGGGTTGGCTCGACAGTTGGTTGAAGGAGATAAAAATGCCAGGAGTTGGCGGAAGAAGGTACTTTACTTAACCCGATCCATGATTTTCTTACTTTATTTCGAGTTTAGCTGATAGATGTGGATGCCTCACATGAACAATTTAATTTAGCTAGGCATGAATCTTAAATGTTACAGGCTTTTTAAACACATTTGTTGGTCATATGTAGGAATAAAGCTAAGTACAGTGTCCTTATGAACAACTTGTCAGTTTTTGGTATGTTTGTAATGTTTTTTATTCATTTGATCTTATAATTCGTAGGCTAACTGTTGGGTAGTGTTTGTTGAGTGATGCCTATATTAGTAGGTTTAATTAGTTAGAAGAGTAGTGTGATGGAGATAAGGATGAGCGAGAGACTAAACCGAGTTGAAAGGTCACCCACCTTTGAGGGGCAGAAGTACACATCCGTGCCTAAGAAGAGTGAGCCTGTAGTTGTGTGATTTAAGACGAGAGTTTTGATATTGAGGGTTTTGGCGAGAATTATGCTACAGAGGAGGCCTAAATGTAAAGACAAACACGAGACGTGGACATAATATAACATTGACACAGTGACATGTTTATTTCTAAAAATCTAAGTCGTGAAAATGTTCATACATTTCAACGATTCTCATAATAAAAATATGTTATAGTTTAGGATGCTTATCATCATTTATGATGCCATGTTTGGAAATAGCTTATTTCCTATTCAAAGTGTATAGCTCTGTTGTTTTCTTGATATGTGCCTTTACTGTATTTTGCATGGAGTTTTGGTGGGTTTGTTTAACTTTCTAGCTTGTTGTAACTTTTCGGTCAATGAAATACATGTTTTACCTCTAAAATTAAATATATTTTCCAACTTTTACTCGTGCAGCTTGAAGTTGTGCGTGAATTATTAGTTGAAAATGTGAACACTGAGGAGCGCCTGGAGTCGTTGATATATTCTGCTATCTACCTCAAGGTTTTCTTCAACGTCTTGTTTTATTAATCTTTTTCTTTTTTTCCCTTCTGTGTACTCCTATATTCTCAATATCCTTCTTGTTCAGTGGATAAATACAGGTCAAATCCCTTGTTTTGAAGATGGAGGTCATTTCAGGCCAAATAGGCATGCTGAAATTTCTAGGATTATATTTCGCGAATTAGAACGATTGTCCGCCCAGAAAGACATTTCTCCCGAGGTCTACTACTGCTACTAACTTCTATGGTTTACCCTCTATTTTCGATTTCATAATTGGTTTTGAAATGTGGCTCCGTTTCTAGGCTCTTTGGTTTTCTTTCGTGTATGAAAGCTTCATTTTTCGATACAACAGAAAATGAATTGATGACCTTTTAACACGTCCAATTTTTATACTCATCGCTTTACCTTTTGACTCTGCTTCTCTCAGCTAAAAGCTGTTTTCTTTTCTTTTCTTTTCATATCCAGGTGGCCCTCATTATTCGAAAAGTTCATCCGTGTTTGCCATCTTTTAAATCAGAATTTACTGCATCTGTTCCTTTAACACGTATACGAGATATTGCTCATCGGAATGATATCCCTCATGACCTCAAGGTAATCCCTTGAAGACTGTCAATGTCTGACAGATCTTTCTTTTGCTAGTGATCCCTATTGGTTCATTGGAGAGTACAATGTATAGTTTTTTTTATTGAAGTTTCACATTTTAGCAAGAAATCAAACATACAATACAAAACAAGCTTCATCGCAATGCTGGTCCAGAAGACTTAATTGCCACAGAAGCAATGCTTGCAAGGATAACCAAGAACCCCGGAGAATACAGTGAAGCCTTCATAGAGCAGTTCAAAATATTCTGCCGAGAATTGAAAGATTTCTTCAATGCTGGAAGGTCAGATAAAGAATCTTATTACTTTCCTTCCTTCATCCTGTCTTTCTTAGGTGGTCATCCTTTCTCTCTCTCTCTCTCTCTCTCTCTCACACACACACACACACATTATAATGATATTGTACTGATATCAAAGGCATGTATGTACATCATTTTGTAAATGATAGGCGACATCTTCATTGCTCGATCTGTCAAATGAAATCTTGATTTGAGAATAGCTTAATATATAAATTTGTTTGAACTTGAGGCTAAGACATACATCTTTTCCCTTCTATAAACAAGTTGTTTGAAATCCTGTAAAATATCTTTATGATGAGTCAATTTATAGCGCAAACCCAATAGCAATACTCTTTCTGCAAATGAGAAGTTTTTGCTATTTTCAGCCTTGCAGAACAACTTGAATCAATCAAGGAGTCTGTTGATGAACGTGGCTTGTCAGCTCTTAGCTACTTTTTGGAGTGCAAGAAGGTGATTTTCTTTTTTCTTTTTTAATTTAATGAGAAGAGTGATTAACTAGAATGCAATTTATCTTTTCAACTCTTGTTTAAGATATTATAATTTGCAACATTTTCTCAAATTCACACTTTCACAAGAAAACTTACGAAATAAAAAACATTTACTATTGATTTTTCCTTTTGTAATTTAAGGAAATCGATGAATGGATTCGGGTTGCTTAATAGGTCTAGGTCGTGGGATTTTTATGGGAGAAAAGAATCACGTATTCTGTTTTAATTCTCGTGCTGATTTTTAGATGTGGGGTATTTCATCATTATAATAAATGTGGTAGGGAATTTTGTTTCCCACAAATTTTTTTTAATGTTTGGTAGAGAATTTTTAGATTACTAGGTTGAGTATGAAGAGATGGTATTTTGTTTCCAGAGCTTGGATGCTGCAGACGAGTTGGGCAGTTCTTTCCAAAACCAAGGCACTGACCTGGTTTTCAAAACCATCCAATCCTTGAATTCCTTGAGAGAAATACTCGTAAGAGGTCTTGAAAGTGGCTTAAGAAATGATGCTTCTGATACTGCAATAGCCATGCGCCAAAAAGTAAGCTAATTGAAAGTATTTATTTATAGAACATTCAAGTAGTTAAAATTATTTACATGCCTTATTTTCTGCCCTTTTGTGCAAGTACAGTGGCGTCTTTGTGAGATTGGGCTTGAGGACTACTTATTTGTTCTTCTTAGCAGGTACATATTTTTTAAGCTTCCTAGAGGATTTTGTCTTGTCTATTGTAGAGGCCTACGGTACATCGTAAATTGAATTGTTTAATTCTCTAGGAAATATGTGACCGTAGTTGGAAGAGGCAGTAGACTACTACAAGTGAAAACTTTTTATTGTTTTTAAACATAGATATCTTTTGGATTCTTCTCCCTGTTTAGGCTATCCTAATTTCTTTTAACTTGTGAAGGCATTTTTAGGGAATCATTTGATGTTAGCTCTAGGAGTTGTTGGGTGAAGGGGATTTTAAATTCTAATTCGCTAGCAAACTGAAATGTAATAATGTTTGAGTGAATCGCTCTCTTGAGTTAGTTATCGTTCTCTGCTGTTTTCTTATTGTGCTCATCATTTTAGGATTGCGTTTGGCTGTCATGGGATCATCCCCACATATCTCCAAACTGAAAGTTGATTTATTCTGATGATCTCTAATTTTCACTTATGTTATTAGATTTCTAAATGTGCTCGAGGCAAAAAGGGGTGCGGATTGGCTGGCAGAAAGTGTGAAGTCAAAGAATGTAAGCGCTTGGAATGATCCACTGGATGCCCTTATTTTTGGTACCCATCAGCTGGGTTTATCTGGTTGGAAGCCAGAAGAGTGTGTGGCCATTGAAAATGAGATTTGTGCTTGGAAGGAGAGAGGTCTTGCTGAAAAGGAAGGTAACGGTTGTCTTTAGTAAAACATATGAGCTGGATTAACTTCTCGTTCCTAAACGATTGGGTCCTATTTTTCCGTCCTCTCTAAATTGCTGTTGCCTTAGCTTCGACAGCTCTTCTTGTTGGCAAATAAACAATAAAATTCATCCTTAGGTGTAAATAAGTGAGCTTAGTGGTAGACAATGTGATTTAGGAGCTGAAAAATATGAAGTGAGTTACCTGAATTAAGGTGTTTGGGCTTTATAGCTCTAATCAATTGACATTTATAGCAGTCAAATCTGAAAGTTTAGTTAAATTCTGTTGATCGACTTGATTTATATGCTTAGCTAATCACCTCAGGATTTTTTTAATTTTCATTAATGAAGGAAGTGAAGATGGCCAAAAGATTTGGGGATTGAGGCTTAAGGCTACTCTTGATAGAACAAGGAGGCTGACCGAAGAATATTCTGAAGCACTTCTTCAAATATTCCCTGAGAAAGTTCAGGTATAAATACATCTATTATTCATAAATACCACAAGAACTACTCAGTTAGATGGTAAGTTCATGAAAAATGAATTCAACCAATATCCTTTGTGGTTTTGTGGGCAACCAGAAATTTCCAAGTAGCTGTAGTTTCTGTGGAATATCACCATTTTAAATACAATCTTTGTCATAGACTTCTATAAAGGTTTATATTGGTTCTTCTAATCGTTCTTTTTAATATTTTATTGCAATAGTTCGTAACATTCTACCGAATCTTCGATTGGCCTTCATTTCAGGTGCTTGGAAAAGCATTTGGGATCCCTGAAAACAGCGTGAGAACATATGCTGAAGCTGAAATTCGTGCTAGGTATAATGATTTTGGTAATTTTATTTTATTCTTCTTTATTACTGTTTGTAGACCAAGAGTTGATGCTGAATCCTGTTGGGAAACTCTAGTGTAATTTTTCAGGTATCGAAGCTTTGCACTATTCTTTCGAAAGCAGTCAGAAGCGTACTTGGATCGCAGGGTTGGGATGTTCTAGTGCCAGGATCTGTTGTAGGAACATTTGTTCAGGTGCTCTTATATTTATTTGTCTTACAACAATTAAGTATTGAAGTAAAGAGGAAGTTCATAAAGAAGTTAAGCGAGGCTCATCACAAACATTGCAATCTATCTTATCATATTAACACATTAACCCATAACTTACTTAAGCTGGAAATTGCATGTTATATGTAAACTTTAGAGAAAAATAACAGAATCTTTAGAGAGTCTTAGAGGTTTCTAGTGATATTCGGTCCCTCGCCAGGTTCCATACATGTTTCTTTTTGGGTGTCGCTGACAAACAATTTCTGTAATTATTCACTAGGTCTGATATGGGCCCCTTTTTTTTAGATAAGAGTAGAGTCTGTAACTGTAATGTACGTTATCCTCACGTAAAAAACGCTCTTGATGATTAAGCTGCCTATGCTATGTTTTGCTCTAAAACAAAGATTGAACTGCGTATGCAAATTAGCGCCGTAAGCAACCGAAATATTATTCAAAGGTACATGGAGTACTTGTTAGAAATTTACCATTGTGCATCTGTAATTGTGAGTGTGCCTTCAGGTTGAGAGGATCGTCCCAGGGTCTCTTCCAACATCCATAGAAGGACCTGTTATACTTCTGGTTAACAAAGCTGATGGTGATGAAGAGGTTTGAAGCTAAAATATACCCTATCACTCTCCCTATCTATGGTGCCGTTATTGTTCTTCATCTGTTGTTAAAGTTGATGATTTGCAGGTAACAGCTGCTGGGAGTAACATAAAAGGAGTTGTGCTACTACAGGAATTACCTCATTTATCTCATCTTGGTGTCAGGGCTCGACAAGTAAGTGCAGTCTCTCTAAAATAGTGTCTTTCTTAAACGCTGTTGGGCGGGCAGTATTAACGAAACTGTGTGTGGGCTTTGTAGGAAAAAGTTGTATTTGTGACATGTGAAGACGACGAGAGAATTTCTTTTCTACGAACACTTCTCGGGAATTACGTGAGGTCGTACATGTCTATATTCTTTACTCTTCCTCCCCTACATATCATTTTTGGTTCATGTTCTTATTCTTGGGAGTTGTGGGGTTTTGTTTAATGGGACGTGTAGGATGGACGCGTCGGCATCTGCAGTTCATATATATCCTTCATCAGATGGTAGCACTGATAATTTTCCTGTCAAAACTGCTCCAGACAAATATGTGCTTAATTTTCAAGAGTCCAGTGAGCAAGACCCCTTGTTACGTGCCTCGGGAGCTCCCTACTCGAAAAAGGTAGTCAAATCATCCCTCAATGACATCACATGTGGACATATCTTCCTTAGTTAAAAGATCCCCAGAACTTGTTTCCTCTGGTGACGGTTGAATTTTGATATAGGGAATTTCCTCTGGAGTGGTACCACTTGCTGATGCAGATGCTCAAATTGCAGGAGCAAAAGCTGCATCTTGTGGTCGTTTGGCTTCTTTGGCTGCTATCTCTGATGAAGGTACATTTTGGATCTAATCTTTTCCCTCAACAAAATTCTGCAAGTGATGCCCATTGAGGTTTATATTTGATTTTTAATTGGTTCTCAAAGCCTTTAGAAGACTCGAAACGCGTTTTACAAGAATGTTCATACTCAAATTATGCTTCAAAAATATCACACTGAAAGGATGCTCTTAATTCCAGCACACGTATCGACACGTAACCAACCATGAGGAATGAATTTTGTTGGCAGGTTTTACGAATCTACAGATTCCAGCTACCTTTCGAGTTCCTGCAGGTGCAGTGATTCCATTTGGTTCTATGGAATTGGCACTTGCTCAGAACAATTCCTTGGAAGCGTTCAAATCGATTTTGGAACAAATAGAAACAGCCAAAGTAGGAGTGGAACTAGATGAACTCTGCAAACAACTCCAGGAGTTGGTGTCCTCTCTGCAATTGACAGAAGACATAATTGATAGTTTGGAGACAATATTTCCTAAAGATGCACGCTTAATCGTCCGTTCTAGCGCGAATGTTGAGGATTTGGCTGGGATGTCAGCTGCTGGACTTTACGATTCAATTCCAAATGTAAATTTGAGAAATCCAATTGCGTTTGGGAATGCTGTTTGCAAAGTATGGGCATCGTTGTACACTCGTAGAGCAGTTCTAAGCAGACGAGCTGCTGGGGTACCTCAGAAGGATGCTTTAATGGCAGTACTGGTGCAAGAAATGCTTTCTCCTGACTTATCATTTGTCCTACACACGTTCAGCCCGACCGACCAAAATGACAAATCTGTTGAGGCTGAGATTGCCTGTGGCCTCGGTGAAACTCTGGCTTCTGGCACTCGTGGCACGCCCTGGCGTCTCTCATCTGGGAAGTTGGATGGTCTAGTGCAAACACTGGCCTTTGCAAACTTCAGTGAAGAACTACGCGTTCTTGCTGCTGGCCCTGCTGATGGAGAAGTGGCACATTTGACTGTAGATTACAGCAAGAAACCACTGTCTGTTGACCCGAAATTTCGTGAGCAGTTGGGTCAACGTCTTTGTGCTGTCGGCTTCTTCTTGGAACGCAAATTTGGCTGCCCCCAGGATGTTGAAGGCTGCGTCGTAGGCGACGATATTTATATAGTCCAAGCACGCCCACAGCCATTGTAGAACATTCTGTCCTTACAATGCTTTGCTGCTTGGAGGCAGAGAGATGAAACAATGAAGCTCAATCAGGCTGCTGATGCCACCATCTCAAGCAGATAACATCCACAAATAAAATGTCATTATCATCTGAAGTTTGTTTCTTAGTTAATAGCAATGTAAGATGGCAGGTTCTATATCCAGCTGAATTGATGATCGTTCAATGCTCCAAACAGGGTTCCTTTGGCAGATTATTGGGTCTGCAGGGGTGTTCGAAATCGTAGTATGATTCAATAAATTATATTGCTTAGATATTGTTCAAAATTATCGAGAAAATTTAGAACCATAAGCCTTAGACATAAGATCTTTAACGAATCATTGATAGCACTTTATGCTAAAGTTGAGTTATGGTTGGAGATGCTAAATTTTGAAATTGCTATCTCAAATAGAATCGACGAAAGTTGGTATTACGAGGAGTAAATAACACTTAACTTCGTTTGTTAATCGAACATTGATCAGATTGAAACATTTTCATGGCATACCGATAATTAGGGATGATTAAAGGGAGGTTGATACCCAAACATGAAATGTTTCCAAAACACAATTGAGATTAGGAAAGAAGCTAAAAGAAGAAGAAGAAGAGAATGAAAAGACTTAGGTTTAGAGTAAGAGTTAAGCAAAAACAAGATCAATGAAGCACATGTTGGGAGGGCCTGCCTTCTCCCATATCAACCTCTCTTTAATAATTAAGCTTTAAGCAACCCACACAATCATTTTATTCAACCACTAAACTAACTAAATTCAATGTTAAACCTCTAATAATAAAGATTATTTAACGGTTCAGACATAATAATGGCAATTTGATGCAAATATAATTTCGTTGGTAAGAATGATGACATCATATAAAGTTTTGAAACTTTTCTTTCTTTTTGGCATTACTCGGATGAATAACAATGGCTTAATCAAAGAATAAAATTAAAATTTAAGTCAAGAAGTTAGAATTGTTCAAATAAGATGATCCATTGAAACTATTAATGAACACACCTATTTATTTTAAGTCAATTTTTTTGACAATATAGAAACTGCAAATTTTCTTTATTATTATTATTTAGTATGCATTACAAAAATTTCCTGCTATAGAGCAAGAAGGAATAATTAGACAAAAAACACTATTTAATTTTGGTATCAATCATAAAAGCCAGTCTACAAGTGGATCCAGTAAAATAAGACTTCAAAGGAATAAAAAGAGAGATAAGAAGGTCAAAGGTATTCAAAGAACTTGGTAACTCGAAAAACCAATCAATCTATGAGTTCGATTGATTCATAAGTTCATCTAAAATTAGTTTGAGTTGTACTAAATTAGCTCAAATTTAACGGTCATTTTTTTTTTACTTATGATACAATATTTATACATTTCACGAAAAAATTGTTGAATCATATCAAAAATATATTGTTTCGTACTTTTTGAGAAGAAACTTTGAACGTTTCGAGTTTCCCGAAAATTAATTGTACTAAAAAACTATAAGCACATGTTGATTATGATTTAAATATTTGTAGTACCTTTACTTAGCTATTAACCATTAACGTTGAGATATTGATTGAAGTAACCAATTAGGTGGTATGCACCGATACCGAAAGGTAAGTTCGTCGGCTAAAATATATATTGAATGAACAAAAGTGATACACAAATCCCTATTGGATTGCAGCAAAAAGTAACACAACAAGTTGAGCCTTTCAATTGAAGCATTATCCAAACCCAGAGCTTCTCCCTTTGCAACAATATCTCAAGAGGGTGTTGCCCAATTCTTTTGGATTTCAAAGTGGTAGCTCACATCCAAGAAGCACTTCCCATCATCATCCACAAACTGGGACAAAACAAGAACAATCAAGAACAGTTTGATCAATTTTGTCCTCAGAAAACTACGCCGATTTACTGCTGTGTTTTAAAATCTATGAATGTTTTGTCTGGTTTTTTACCTTTGTTCTTGCAGAATAAGAGCCTCTCGCAAACATTCCAGACGGTGTGACTTCTTCTTCCATTTCATACACATATGGCTCCTTTTGAGGACTGAACGTTCCCAGCATTTTCTTGGTGTGATCCACTGTCAAAACAAAATTCAACCCATCAAACAAAAACAGATGTAAAAAGTTCCCAACTTTTTCAACTTATATGGAAACAAACCTCTCACACCAGTCTTCCAGACAGTGTTCGTGTACTTGAGACCGGAAACGATGTTCCCAACGACGATAAAACTGAATCGGAGTCGGTATCGGGAGCCTTCCTTGATGGCGAAGAGGCTGTTGCTCTTGGAAGTTTTGGTAAATGGCAATGGCAGCACAAGATCTGCTCGCCCTGGACATTGGATTGTTAGGCTCTGGATTTTCACTTCTGCTTCTTTGCTTTCTGCTTCACCAAAACACATCATTCATCCTTTGATCATATCTTAAGTCAACAGCGGGTAGGCTTTCTCGGGATATGTGACGTCGAGTAAACCTTTAACCCGTCTCAATCTTACTTCGACTATAAAATGTTCTTATAAATTATGATCAATATTAGATATATGGTCAGTGATTTCAATAATGATATCGTTCAGATATGTTGGTTATATCTATAAGAATTCAAGGAATCCGCTTCAGAGATCCGTTTGAATAGATATGGTTGTTCTTAAAATTAAATAGCATCAACACAAAGAAAAAATTCATGTTCACCTCCAATGGCAGAGAGATCAACACTACCCAACAACTGTTCCTTCCATTTTCTCAAGCTTACATCATCCTAGACAAACAAAACCAAAGCTATGATGCATCAACAAAAGTATTGTTAAAAAGTCATATCAAATTCACTCTTACGAACTTACCTTATCTTTCTCGAGTTGTTCCTTGATAGAGAACCGAGGACCGAGATCGACTTCTCCCTCGGGCTTAAGTTTGTCATCTTCGTCTTCTTCAATAATCTCTTCTCCTTCTCGATCGTTCATAGACTTACCTAACTCTTCCTCCCCTACTTGAGGGTTGAACTTAACGTTCTTGGTTGAGAGAGAACCAACCACAGCTGACATTGTAAAATATATGAAGAAAGAAGAAGAGAGAAAGTTTTAGGCCACCAGAAGTATAGATGCTTTTGGAAGCTAGGCTTGCTAAAAATAGATGTTTCCCTCTCCCTTTTATATCATAAAAGTTGTGGAAGATAAGAGAAACTGTTTAGGGAAACAATATAATCATTTGTTTTGAGTATATTACCAGCAGCCAACCCTTTTTTCATACACAAAATACATGCTTTTGTATGAGTATGTTCGCTGATCATATTTTGTTCATACTTATTGCAGCTAACTATTAGTTCATTATGTGGTACCAAATCATAAGGATTTTGTATTCAACAATAAGCTACATCAATTGATGTTGATGGGCTAGCTCCTTTTTACTTTTTTTTTTTTTTTTTTGGTGCATCGTGTTATTAAGTTGATGTTCAATACGAAGTTCTTTTTTTTTAAGGGTCGAATACTGGTGTGAAACCTGAGGACGATATTGATCTTTGTTAAGATCTATTTTCATGCTCATATCCCTTCCATAGTGACATGAGATGTACAAAGAGAGATGCTCATGGGCCAAGTTAGACTCCATGAATGATCTATTTTCAACAAATAATGATGTTTGATAAGATAAAATCTATCGGTTTCCAAGGATAATGAAACTTATAAAGGAAGAAATCAAATAGAAACTATGGTTAATTGAACTTTACCCACTATTATATTGTCTATGAAAAACAGAGACTACAAATCTTCCAAGCAGAGCGCTGTCAGACAATGACCGAGCAACCATGCTTACAAGACCTTAAACAATTAGAATAGATGAACAAAGCAGACAAAATATACAACTTACTGGAAACAACTGAATTGACAGCATCTTGTTTACAGACAGCTTCATACAAAATCGGACAAGGTGTTCTGATTTGAAATCATGGGACGCATTGCAATACTCGCTGCAATGCCCTTTTTAGACCTTCCTGATCGAGTGATGTTGTCAGTTGTATTTCTTGAACCTAAATTCACATACAAGGATTAGTATCCGTGCATGTCCATGTGCGTGTGAGAAGGAGAGAGAACTACCTGCCTCACAGCACGAACAAGGAGAGTGAACTTCTTTTCAAATGGGAAGGCGGCTGCAGTAAAATGTGTGAGATCCCACATCGGTTGGAGAGATGAACGGAATATTCTTTATAAGGGTGTAGAAACCTCTCCCTAGCAGGCGCGTTTTAAAATCTTGAGGGAAGCTTGGAAGGAAAAGTCCAAAGAGGACAATATTTGCAAACGGTGGGGCTTGGGCTTGGGCTTGGGCTTGCGTACAACGTTGTTTCATAAACCTGCTGTATAACTTTATCCACTGTTTCCAAAAGTGGATCTTCCTCAAGTTGTGTAATCGACAGTGTGATCCTGGACTTGTCCCTGCATAAAGTCAAAAGGACAGACTCAGCATGGCAACGCTGAAATGCAGCGCAATGGACAAAGAGTTAAAGATTAAGATGATATAATTTTACAAGTCTATTACTTTTCCTTGTTTTCAGTTTCTTAACCTTTCGCAAAAATAACAAAATCAACCGTGGCCTTTGGTTTAATTGCATAATCAGAGTACAACAGATTGTATTTCATTGAGAAAGATCAGACGCAATCTGACCCGTCACAAAATGGGACAGGGATTTATGAGAGTTTTCAGTTGTCCTAGTGACTCCTCTAACGTCCCAGTTTCTGCATTCTCACTATTCTCCTTGTCTAACCCAAGCTAACATCCTAACTAACTTTCCTATCTAACTGTGAGATCCCACATTGGTTGGAGAGGGTAGCGAAGCATTGTTTACAAGAGGGTGAAAACCTCTCCCTAGCACACGCGTTTTAAAAACCTTGAGGGAACACCAGAAGGAAAAGCCCAAAGAGGACAATATCGGCTAGTGGTGGGCTTGGGCTGTTACAAATGGTATCAGAGCTAGACACCAAGTGGTGTGTTCATGAGGCCCATGCAAAAGAAAAGAAGGATAATCTATCCATTTAACATATTTCAACATCACTTGTCGTCTCTCCCCTCTTCTTACAAAGGTCAAGTATAATGGAAGTCTATCATAAACCATAGATGAATAGGAATTTAACCAGAAAAAAGAAGGAACAATAAAAAAGATTTAAGAAAAAGAAAAGAAACAGCAGAGTAACACACAAGATTTTCAAGTGGTTCAACATAATAATTGATCTACATCCACCGAGATATGAGCCTATATTTCATGTCTCATAAGCAAGCTCAGTAGAAAATACATATATACCTTTCTCTTGTTACAGCACTGATAACAAACAGGAACAGATGTAATTACCCAGCTAACAAACTTTGGTTGAATATGATTGAGTTTATCATTACCACCACACCACAACACTCAGATTATCGAATTGACTATGTTTCTTTTAGTTTTTGAATGAAACACCATCAACTCGTATACAATGTTATACCAGTGGACGAAAAATTCATACTGTTCTTATTTCATAAATCTGTATACATGACAGAATTCAAGAAAATACGTGGAAACTGTTTTCTAAACACATCTAGGAGTAAGATTATTAACAGAATACAGAATATTATCATCAAAGAAACGTAAGCCCTAAACAGAGCCAACTCTAGATTCATAACATCTCCGACATTAACTCGCTCAGAAAACCTCAAGGGATTAAGTTCCCACATAATAGAAAACACTATGATTCTTTTAGAGAGCAAGCCGACTAAAATTTTCTAAGAGAAGAACTCCAGTTCTTCAATTCCAAGAATGAAGAGATAACCAATGTACTCACCCGAGCAAGTCGAACGGATCCCGGCGACGAGGACGAACTGTCTAAAACTCCGGCGATGTGTAAATAATATATTTGTTCATTTGGTAAATAGTATGTGTATTGGAATATTATAATATCATATAAAATCAAGAACTTAAGAACTTTTACAGCTGGAAATTAATTTACAATTAAAATAATTTTGTAAGAAAACCCAAAATGGGTCCCACAAGGTGGTGGGTCCCATCTAATTTAGCTCACCAAAAATGTCGCTCCATATAAGTTATAAATAAATATGAGTTTATTTTTTTTTATTTGTCTCCGGAGGAAGGAAATTTATTGACCGATAGTGACAGGCCACGTGGGTTGTTAGCCTGTAACCGTCGTATTGGATTCCTGCCCCTTAGTGATTACGTGGCTATATCGTGAATCACTCATACATACATCCATGCATGATGTGATGCTGTGGACATAGTCTTTATTCCATCATCCATCCATACATGTGAATATGGGGAAAAGGCTGGAAAAGCATTCGGCTGAGGGGACCACTTACAATTTAACTAAGCCTACACAATCCACGTCATCAATAGGACCATTAATGGCCTTAAACCATATAAAATTGAAGCAAATTCATCCAAATTAAATTATAATTTAGTGAGAAAGTAAATTTAGACGAATGAATCAACCCAATCGAGTCGAGAATTAGAGAAAAACCCATTGAACTAAATCGAAACGCATCGAACTATGTTGAACCAGATCAAATTAGTTGCGAATAAAAATAAACTGTATTTGACCCATTTTCGATATTACACTTTCGCTTCCGTCGTTCTTGTGAAATCTGAAGACAACGACCGTTTGTGGAGTTTGGTAAGGCTAATGAGGGGGCAAAGTGGACAATTCATGTTCCTCATCTCGATAATTTTTTTTCTCGAAACAGAGTTTCTTCTCATTTACATTGAAACGGAGGCATCGAGAAAACTCTTTATACCAAATGATGTATTAGCTCTATCACAAGTGGCTTACATGACTCTTGAAGGAGAAGAAGAAATCAAAGACTAACTTTGACGGTCGAGCCTTGGAGAGGAAAACTCATTCTCGATTAAACTTGAATATTCGAAAGAACATTCAAACCTAAGCAAGCATGCAACATGCTCTCAGTTTGAAGCAAAGCATTTAAGTACAAGTTGAGAGTTTCTTTGGGCCAATTAAACACATTTGGCTCGACTATCGACCCTGATGACTGTTGAATAAATTAAATATCTAGTACATAAAAAAGTTGCTCGAGAAGTACAGGGTATTATCCCTTAAAGCTATTCAGTTGGCGTCTTCATGTTGTCATAAATTATTTTATCAACTTTCTTATAAAACTCGATAATTCAAACGATGAAGTGCCGATCTCTTTCTTTTGGTTGTCCCACGTAGCACGATGTACTCTGTATAAAGCATATAAAAAAGTTAAAAGTAACTCGATCAGGTACACTTTACTCATATCGAATTCAAACGTTGCAAATAGCACCCAAGCATATCTTTCTTGTGTCTCATGACATGGACACATTCATGGCCAAAAATTGTATGGTTTGAAAAGGGTCTCTTTTTAACATAAAAAGCACTTTGATTCTTTAGATATAATTATTTGCCCAATGAACTCTCTCTCAACTTTTTTATCTCCCACCATTTTTCCAATAATGATTATGAAAATAACTTTCAAATAAAATTTTCGCGCTCGAGTTTAAGTGGTAAAGTCTCGTACACAGAGCTACGAGTTTTCTCGAGTCTCATTTTAATCTGAGTACAATCTCAAATTAATATAGTAAAAGAATAAAGCGAGATAGAAGTTTTTTTTAACGTCCCAATTATACCCGTTCAATAAAATGAAAAAAAATTGCAACGGATACCCCGTAAAAAAATTACACGAAAATGGTTCGGGAACGAAACCCATTTCTAGGTTTTTTCATCAAATTTGAACGTTCCGTTGAAAAATATTGGTCGAGCCTCAGTTAAGAAATTTGTAATTTTATTAAAATAATAATTTTAATTTTAATTTTAATTAAATAATGTCGTCTGAGAAACGTGGAATGGAGACATCAAATACGCAGGTAGTGCCAGATTTTGTGGGCAATTCAGTCATTTAAATCAGAAAATGATGGATTTGGCTGAATAAAAAATAAAATAAAATAAAATAAAAGATTCTTGGAATATTATTATTATAATTGGAGTATCATAGACACAACGATTGACCCACAGCCACAAGAAAATTATGGTGTCTATGAACCTTGCTAAAGTCTTGTAACAAATCATAATTCCCAAAATGCCCCTTTTATCTCTTATTCATTCATTGTCTTTGGATATGAGTTTTCATTTTCATTCCTTATTATTATTATTTTTTTAATTTATCGTTCTCGTTTTTGTTATTATTCGATAATCAATACTTATCTTACTTTATGCTTATCGTTCGGAATGAAATTTTATCATAAGGTCGAGCACAAAATAATCCGGGACTGTATGGGGATGAAATATTCAACATAGAGTATAATGGGTTAAACGTTAAGTGAGTCGGACTACCAATTAAAAGAAAGATGTAACAGCTCAAGTCTACCGCTAGTAGATGTTGTCTGCTTTGGCCCATTACGTATCGTCGTGTTTTACAATTTTAAAACGCGTCTATTAGTGAGAGGTTTCTACACCCTTATAAGAGATGTTTCGTTTCTTTCTCCAACTGATGTGCGATCTCACAATCCACTCATGAGGACCCAGCGTCCTCGTTGACACAGTACCTAGTGTTGGGCTCTGATACGATTTGCAACAACTCGAACCTAATGTAGTAGACACTGTCCACTTTGGCCTGTTACATATTGTTGTCAGCCTCATGGTTTTAAAACGCGTCTGTTAGGGAGAAGTTTCTACATCTTTATAAGAGAATGTTTCATTCTCCTTTCCAACCGACCTGAGATCTCACAAAAGAAGAGAAACTTTGGTCAAAGCCCAAGTCCCTAGTCGGTCTTGAGCAATGACCACGTCTAGAATCCCCCTCTTCTTGTGATCCCGTTGACCTAACCGTAATGGAAATCAACAAAACCCTAAATTTAAGGGTATATAAACACTTTTGGAGAAGGAAAATCTAATGAAGTTCAGCTCTACCGACTAACTTAAGCATCGAAACCTATGTGGCAAGCACCATAAATATGTACGTGTATATATATATTATAATTAATTGAGGTAAGTTTAAAAAGATTAAAAAATGAATATAATTTCTTAGGTTTTATTTTTATAATTAAAATACAACTTTGAATATATTTCAATAGATTTATGTTGACATGTTTTATTATTATCATTATTATTATTTTTTGTCTTTTTGGGGTGTGGGGGAAACCTTTATGAAAAAACTAATTTGTTTTTAAGTGTAAAAGTAAAAAAGAAATAAAACTTTTTCCAAACCACAATATATATTTTAAAGCCCATATGCGAAGGAACGACCGACATGACAAGGAAAGGAAAAAAAAAAAAACAGAACAAAAATCTAGTTGGATCCCCACGTGTCATTCGACACGTGCCAGAAATGGTCTAGATTTATCCAATTTTATTCCAAAATTAGTATTAAGTTAGTTTCATCTTTAATGGATAAATATTAAATTCCTATTTATCCTTATCCATTTTATGAAAAGTATTAAAATAATATTTTAACTTTTATTTAACCTTTTCCATATATATATATATAATTTTAAATACTCGTGTAATTTAGATGACATATTTAGATATCGTTGCAGTAGCTCTAATGAACAAACACGAACATATTAAATCTCACATTAAAATTAAATATTACAAATTATGAATGAAAAGATAAATATTTTAATTATTAACGCGTCGTTATTGCAACATTTATTTTTATATAATTGGGAGGAAAAAAAAAAGAAAAATATTTATTTTGTATTTGTAGAACATAATATGTGGATGTGGATGTACATACACGTAGGAAGGGATCAACACCAAACACCACTTGTCGGAAGACGGGGCCCCACATCCCACGTTGTCGTTCTCCCATTGATGGAATCCCCTGTCCCCACATGACTATCACGTGTCCCCACCTCTGTTTTTGTCATCATCCCACCTTCTAGGAACAGCTGTCCCTATCCACGTCATCATGTCATGTATGTACATACTATCCATGCTATAACCCCATACATGCATGAAATAGAAAACAGAAAAAAATAATTATAAAAAAAAAAGCCGCTTTTTCTATTCACTCGCTTTATAAACGGAGACCCATTTCTCCAACTCTGCCGCGGACACGTTTTACAGAACGAGAGGCGAGTTTGAAAAACGAGAAAAAAAATGGGAAGTGGTTTCTTTAGCGAATCTGAATTGTGGGTGAATGGAGTTCGAGAAGACCTAGAGGAGGATACCTCCATTGAAGAGGGTGAGGAAATCGGGTCGGATTCGGATTTGGACGAGTCGGTTCAAATGGGGATGGAAAATTTGACGAAGAAGATGAAGAAGAAGAAGAAGAATCATGTTTTGCTTGAGGGGTTTGTGGAGGATGAGGATGAGTTGATGAGGACGAAGAGCTTGACGGATGAGGATCTGGATGAGCTTAAAGGGTGTGTGGATCTAGGGTTTGGTTTCAGTTACGATGAGATTCCGGAGCTCTGCAACACTCTGCCGGCGTTGGAGCTCTGTTATTCCATGAGCCAAAAGTACATGGACGAGCACCAGAAGTCGCCGGAGAGCTCGACGGCGTTGGATTCGTGTTCGTCAGTGTCGAGTCCGATTGCGAATTGGAAGATCTCCAGTCCTGGTTAGTGGCTCTTTTCTGTTGGATCTTGATTTGGAACTGGATTTCTTTCTTTTTTTCGTACATTTCTGTTTATCTGGATTATGTAGCTCGTTTATGATTTGAAAGCAGTTTGAATCGAGAATGAGGTGATGACTGTTGAAATTTAGGGACTAGAATGGAGTTTTTCCAATTGTTAGAACTCTAAAATAGAATGGATAAGTATGAGAATTGACAGATTTAGGGTCCGTTTAGGTTTTTGTTCTTTACTGGTGGGGTGGAGGCAACGGTTTTCGATTTTTCTTCACTCTAACCTGTGCTTATCACTTTGAATTTCGTGGGGATTCTCAATTTTACCTGTTTTATCTGCAAGTTTTTCAAGAACAAAAGACTAATATGCTCTCTAACTTATAACTTAAAACTTATCAGATACGAACCATATGATTATAATGCATAGGATTCCAGTTTATATTTGTCCTTCTTTTCTCTGGATTACAATTTTTTATATCTTTTAAAGGAATGGTTCTGAATTTTTGGTGATGTTTGGTCATATAGGTGATCATCCAGAAGATGTTAAGGCAAGGCTCAAATTTTGGGCTCAGGCAGTGGCATGTACTGTTAGATTATGCAACTAAGAAGCATCATCACTAGATTTGGCAGACAAAAAGGAATGCGTCTTTTGCACTAGTAACCTTTAGCCTTATGGTGAACCAACGTGGCACGCGTTCGGGTAAAGATGGAACGAATGAACGACGGGTTGTTTGATGAGTCTGACTTATGAAGAAGAAGAAGAAGATGAAGAATGTATCAGGTTTGAGATTAACCATACCCCAAAATGAGTCTGACTAAGATATATTTTGTGAAATATGTAGTTCTTTTTGTAAAATTGGGAATAAATTTATGATAATAATATGAATAAGTTCATCAAATCTATTTCTTGTTTTTTGATTTGGTTGGTTTAAGCAGTAGTTGATGGTTTTTATGCAGTGGGTTTGACTCTTTGAGAGGTTAGCTTCCATAACACCCAACCCAACACCCCAAGTCTCTTTCACTGACCTTTTTGCATATGCTGAGGTAACTAACAGTGTTAACTTAACCCATCATCAACTTTGGCTCTCTTTGTTCTGTTTTGACCCCATTTCTGAAGGTAACTGACACTGACTTTACTAACTATCAGGTTTTGTCAATGGAAAGCAAGGGAGAAATGTTCATTCTTTGTTATTCCAATGTCTGAGTAGGGAAGTTCTCGGTTTTTTATTTTGAGTTGTAGATGGTATAATCTCTTTTATGCTATTCAACGACTCGAAAGTTGGATCGAGACCAGGGAACATGTCGTCCCTGCTTATGATTTCTAGTCTCCCTTCACGGCTTGAATGCCAATAGAAGAAAAAATGTTTGTATGAATCGAAAGATTCTGAGCTAATGATGTCTTTTGTTATTAAGTTTTTGTGTTCACTAGATAACGAGTTTATTTTTAGTATTTTTAGTAACAGGTGACCAAACTTTTAAAAAGAAAAAGAAAAGGCACTAACCCTTTTGAGATTTTATTATAATTAAGAAAGTTTCTTTTTTAAAATTTTTTACCATAAACTTTTATGTTCATAAAATTGGAATCTAAACTTTTTTACTCAACATTCAATTTATAGAAATGGTAAAAGTGGTCGACAATGAACTGACGTGTGCATTAATATGTTAATTAAAATGGACTCTAATTTTAGATTATTATGAAGAAGTGATTATAAAAAGCAATTCGTTCCAAGTTCTGAATAATTAGGTTGATTGGGCCAACTTCTGGAAACTTCCTGTATTAAGGCAGTCTAATGGTTTGAATGTTAAAAATGCTTTCGGTATTTCACTTTGATACTTCAAATCATATTTGAGCTTTTCCAAGCTCTTAGGCCTTGGCGTTTTATGTTGAGAAGTTGTGATTTGGCACGTAATTTTGATTTGATTGACTGCATGATAGTTGAGGATAATTTTTACAGTTTACGAGGGTGGAGGCACTGTGAGGAAGGACTACGAACAAATTTGATTTAAAATTAATTTTAAGCTTCAATGATGGTTAAGTTGGAAAATTTATGTTCATGGACTGTGTTGCTAAATGTCTTCCAAATTATTGGGTTAATTTACCAAATCTCAAGTTTTGGTATAATGCATTACATGAAATTTCTGTTCATGTAATGCAGTAGGGAGAGCTTATTTTCGTGTGGTATATGTAGCATAAGACTTCACAAAGGGTTTCATTAAGTTCAACATGTCAATGTAGGGAGATTCGAACTTCCAATTTTTTTTGTTGAAGGGTGCCTATCTTAATTAGTTCAACACAAACAAAGAAATTTTTGTGTGTGGCGAAGACACCAGTTGGTGTTGGGGGAAGAAAAAAAGAGCTTGATGTTATCACACAATTCAATTTTACATATGATCAAATGGACAGGAAGCGTCGATGAATTCAAACTTCACGGCATAACTTACATGCAAGGTCTAGAGAAAATACAAACCGGTTCATACAAACATTTATAAGTGCATTCACATAACGAAAGACTCATAAAAATAAGCACTGTTGGAATTTATTGGTGGGTATGGTTTCCTGACCTTGTTTTTCAAGCAGATTGCAACAGATTCTGGATATCTTTCTGCAGAATTGAGGAAGAAACATAAAATAAGGCTCTTCATATAGTCTTGATCTATATAAAGTTGATCAGAGGAAAATGTACTAACCTCAATCTTCAAAGGCGAGGTGGTAGGAGCATATCTATCAACCACCTTCCCTTCTTTGTTCACCAAGAACTTTGTGAAGTTCCATTTGATGCCATCCCCAAATATTCCGCCCTTTTGTGATTTCAGGAACCTATAAATGGGTGCTGCATTCTTCCCATTAACCTCAACCTTACAAAACCACATCATGAGCACGTTTAGAAGAATCTTTTGGAATAGTTTTTAAAAAGTGAAAAAAAAAAAAAAAAAAAGTTAAGGAAATCTTAATTCGCTAAAAGCACTTTTCAACGATTCAAGAGTACCAAACTCATCCTAAATGTTCCCATAATTGGACAAACAAATGCCTAGTAACCAGTGTTTGTGGCATGAAAGTACTTGTCCTACTGCGCAAATAAAATTCAAATCATATGCTTATTGAGTATCCTTACAAAATCTATTGCTGCAAACTGGCTAACTTGTATGCATTTAGTGATCTAATAACCAGAGGATTTGGCCCGCTTCAATTAATAATTTCGCTGAGACAAATGAATAATTCTACAATATTTGATATCGAAAATACTCCAGGATATTTAATATTCATAGTAGATTGTCACTATAGTTTAAACCTAATAATTTAAAGACAACTTGCTTTATTTAAAGTTTGCATCACATCATGATTACCTTATCAAAGATGGGGAATTCAGCTTTGAACCTTGTGCATACAGTTTCCTGAATCTCCTCATTGCTTCCTGGCTCTTGTGCTGCAAACTGATTGCAAGGAAATGCCAATATCTCGAAACCTGCCCAGATAAGTATTGTTTAAACTAACCACAGTCTTGAAATATAGAACTTCATGAGTTTTGATATTGCCATGAATTAAAGCCTGACCTTGATTTTTGTATTTTTCATACAATACATTTAACTCCTTGTAGTTTGACTGCGTTAAACCACTGCAAAACAACAAAGATCTTAAGGAGATTAATGATACAGTTTGACATTTTTCTCAGTCTTCGACCCATTTTCACTTCTTGATTTCTCTAACCTTATATAATGGTGGTTCTGTTTAATTCACTTTAAACATTTGCACATGATTTCATCATCGTGAGTGAATTTGAAGAGTTGGCAACATTCAATTAGTTCCATGAGAAAATAAAAATTACCATTGAGAAGCAACATTCACTATAAGAAGAACCTTCCCCCTGTATTGACTAAGGTTCACATCATTCCCTTGAATATCCTGCAAAGAAAACCATTTTACAATTCAGATATTCCCGTATAAAAAAAAGTTAGCAGAACGAATTAGACAGAAAATCACTTCAATAAAGCAGCCAAAGTCAACGAAATGAAAAACCAGCTGTAAAACAAAAAGGATCCCAAGTACTTCGATTTGGATCTTACATGTCTGATATATCCGAAGTCAATGGAGAACTAATAAAAAATTACCGAAATAAAAACAGATTAAACTGAACATCACCTCAATAAAGAAGCCAAAGTCGATGAAATGAAAAACGAGAGGTAATACAAAGGCTTCTCATTCTGTAGTTAAAACTAAGGATCCCAAATATTTCGAAGTAAAACGAATTAAAATGAAAATCCCCACAGCAAAGAAACCTACGCCAGCGAACGACAATGCTATTTAAAGCCAAGAAAAGAATCCCGAATATTTCGAAGTCCGACAATTCAGATATTTCCAAAATCAAGGACGACTACTAATCAATGATCTGCCGAATTAAACAAACAAATCACTTCAACAGCGAAACGAAGAACAACAGCCGCAGCAACAACAACAACACAGAAGATTTTCCATGTCACATCAAAAACCAAGGATTTCCAAGCAAACAGAGTAAATTAAGAAGCGATGGAGCTCAACGATACCTTGACGGTGAAATCATAAATGGAATTGGAGGATTCTTGAGCCATATTCAGAAGGAAAGGAGAAATTTGGGATGTGCGATAGAAATAAAATGCTGATGCACAGAGAATCAAGAGCGATATCCAATTGACAACTTGAAGAAAATGCATTTGGAAGAGAATTCAATGTTCAAATTTCAACGCCGCCCTACGTGGTTGGATCAGCGTTTGGTGAGAGCAAAAGAAAATTATTTCCTTGTTTACATCAGCAATTTATTAAATACCCATTTTTAGATTTATATGTTTAGAAAAATAACTTGGCGGGTAAGTTGGTTCGGCTTTGCTACACATACGCGCCGACTTAAAAACCCTTCGTCACGGACAAATCAGCAACTGCCACGTTATATTGGGTACTCTTTGAGAGTATTTGAAACTTTCCTCCCAACTTCATTTATTTTCCATTTTTCTTAATAAATAAAATATTGCTAAATATTTTTTTAAATAACATTTTATCTTTTAATTTATGTTTTGGATAGAACGGAATATAGATAACAAGCTTTATTTTGTTGCTTCAAATTTTATAAATATTTAAATAGAAGAAAGAAAAAAAAAAACAAAATTTTAAAAATTGGAAATAAAATATAGGAAACAAAAATAAAATTCAATTTTCCATTTATTGAATTTGTTATTTTATTTCAAAAATATCGTCTTTCAAAAAATACTTTTAATCATTTTAAAATTTTAAAAAAATATTTTTATCATTAATACTATATTTAAAAAAATTACCCATGAGGAAATTTAAAAAAAATTTAAAAAACTATTATGGCCCATTTTAATTTTTTTATAATAAAAATTTCAACTACATATATTAATGTCATATTTTTAAATGAGTGTTGACCGATGAATATTTAAAATTGTAATTTTTAATAAGTATGACATTTTACTACCATATACGATTGATGGATGTATATTATGTTTTAAATGAGTACCTAATAATAATTATAACGAAAATAAATGATGTGTTATGACTCGTAAAATTAAGCATCCAATCCAACTTAATTACTTTTAAAAAAATAAAAATATTTAATATATATAACGAAAATAAATGATGTGATTTGGAATTTGGTATATAGTAATAATTAAAAAAAAAGAAAAAAAGAAAAAAAGAAAAAAAGAAAGAAACGAAGAACGGTCGGTTTAGGGGTCATACGAGGGCAGGGCATTCTGAAGCCGCTTCTCAGTGGGAAAGTGGAGAGGCGGGGTAGAGGAAAATGGAGGGAAAATTGAAGTCTCTTTCAATGGTTGGTGCTGGAGCTCTCTTCGGTTCTGTTTCTACCTTCTTCATCCTCAAGCTCATTAACAGGCAAGTTTATCAGTCGAATCACTTCTTTATTATGCTGTTTATTCCATTTTTTTATTCTTTAATCACACTCGAAAGCGTTATCTAGAGCACCAGTAATAGTCGGGGAAAATGAAAATAATGATACAGATAGTCTGGCTATGTTTCCTCTTCTCTATCATATACATATATATATATATATATATTATTCTCGATGAAGTAGGGGGTTCTAGTGATACAAAATGGTAAAGGAAAAGAAGGATTCAGAAGCTTAAACTGCTACTGTGGGGGAAAAACTGATAAGTTTAATTAAGCTAGCTGACTAAGATGGTAGTTTGATAATTTGTTATCATTGCAGGCGGTTAGCGAACCAAGCTGAAACGAAGGCAACCAAGCTGCGGGGTAAGTAATCGTTGCAAGAATACTGAACACAGGTTTCCTCCATCCCTTGGCTTATTGCATTTGAAAGATTATATGATATGTGAACGGCTGCTTTTCCTTTCTCCTCCTTTTGCTTGTTGGGTATGTTACCAACTTTTGTGTCATTTAAATAGTTACTAGTGTTCTTTTTCAA